GAACTGAGAAAATAGAACTGAGTCTTGGCTTGGCAAGCAACAGCAGGACAGAAGTGAGAGAGGACAAAGAGCTTCCTGCTGTTGATTTCTTCCTACCTTCTTTTTTGTTGTTGTTCTGGAGCTGGTAGTAGAAACAATGCTAATAGGATCCTCTTCTGATGATTGGAAAAAGGCTCTGAAATGATTTATTCATCTGGCTCCTGACCACTGTTGTTAAAAATAAATTTTATAGACTGCTCTACAGTTCCCTACCTAGGAAGCTACCGAGGATGTCTCAGCTCACGTGGAGAAGGAGAATAATCATTGTTTCAGTGGATAATCTTAATTTTTTTCCTTAGAATTAGAAAGAACTTTTTTCATTTATTCCAAAAGATTTCACATTAGATTTTATTTAATGATTCTCAATAACAACATTGTTGGTCTACCAACCATACTGAATGAAAAAAATAGCATGATAATGATTAGTTCCTTTTGAAGGTATTTTAGTATTGCCTATATGTTTTCCCAGTAGTAAGTAGGCAATGAAGCAATCCAAAGAGAGGAAAGAAAGTCTAAGAAATCAGTAACAGGTTTAAAGTAACTGGAACAGCAGAAATAAGAATCCATGCCAAACAAGTTAGGAGGATGGAGCTTCTGTGGCATAAGTACCAATATATCAACAATTATAATTGAAAAGCAAAATCCTTTACACATACACACAGAATTTTATAGTGATATATGCCAAAATAAAAGAAATGATGATGAAAATTCCTTTTGGAACTGGTCCTTCCACATTTTATTCCTGCTCTAAAGAAAATAAAGTAAAATAAATAAATCATCTATTTCAGATTGTCTGCCCTCCACCTCCTCCTGGAGACCCCAAGTACTCCCAGTTTCCAATTTCTCCCAGTTACTATCCTCAGGATTCTGTGGGACATTCAAAAAATGCAAATCTGAGTTTTCATAAACAGAGGAAAGTACAGATTTTAGAAGCATGTCAGGGATTAGATGTGTGTTCGGCGTGAGAGAAGTGGATGAACTCACCATTGACAAAAGGAAATTCAATTAAAGGCAGGTGGATAGAGAGGACAAATTAATACAAAAATAGATCTTCAAGAAAAACAGTACATTACAAACCCAAGTTATGAAAAGTAAACAAAGACAACTCAAGCTAGGTTGAGGAAGAGGGACGAGGAAGACACCATTATACTCATGGCCAAAAAAAAATGTTCTGGAATTGCAGCATCTATGTACATGGTAGAATGGCAGACTGGAAGATGAGGGAGAAAAATATGCCAACTCATTGCTGCCCCTTCACCTTGCTCTTTGCTAGTTTTATTTTCCTCAGCTGTAGACCAAAAGACTAATATTAATCCCAGGAAACTTCAAGGCTAACATTTTGAAATTCAGGTGTCCTTTTGCTGACAAATTTGTTGTAAAATTGGATTAAAAATTTTTACTCAAGGACTTATTATTTACTGAAATTTATTTCAGTTACTATGCGTAAGACCTTGGATGATTTCCATCCTGTACAAGGAGAAATAGAGGCCCAATATGCCCTATAAAACATACTACAAAATTCTTAGTACTAGTAGATTTTCAAATCTTTCTGGGACAATCTGTTAACTTCTCGAGCAAAATGCTACTTTGGGTCTATTTTTGAATCATTAGAAGTCTATCAATTTCCTTTTACCAGTATTCCTCATTTTTGTGGCAGTTTTATTTGAAAGGAAATGAAACAATTCTAATGAATATTTGAGCATCCAAACTGAGGCTCTTTGGAAAACTTTCTCTGTTCTACAATTTTCCATTTAAAAAAGGTAACCAGGAATCACTCTGCTTTCTCCATCTCCTCCTTCATAAGAATTTTTTGTCTTGGTTTATTTCCTATTTCACTTTGCAAGTTTTTATGAAAGCAGTGATTTCCTAAACAAAGTTCCCACTCTCCAAGTGGTATACAAGCCATCCAGTGGAATACAGAAGAAAATACAAACATATATTGTAATCTAAAAAATATATTAACCTTACTAATAATTAATATTGGCCCCGCCCAAGCACACTTTATCCTCCCAGTGTTGGTCACATATTACCTAGGGTAAAAGATGCAACTTGAAAGGAAAAAGAGAATTTCACAATTTGGAGAGGGTTAACAGAGGCACCGTGAATGCCTTCCTTTGACAGCATTATAGTTTAATGTGCCTGCTTTTAGGAGATTTATAGCAATTATCTTAATGGTAGAACCTTTACTACCTACATGTATTAGTATTATTACCATGACAATCCACAACAAACTTAGCTGCTCAAACAACATAAATTTATTATCTTACAGTTCTCTAGGTCAGAGGCCCTACACGAGTCCCACTGGGCTGTCAGCAGACTGAGTTCCTTTCTGGAGGTGCTAGAGGACAATCTGTTTCCTTTCTCATTCAGGTTTGTTGGCAAATTCAGTTCCCCACAGTTGTATGACTGAGGTCTCCATCTTCTTGCTAATTGTCAGCTGAGGGCCATTCTTAGCTTCCAGAAGCTGCCCCACTCCTTGGACCCTGGCATTCTTTATCTTTAAAGCCCCAGCAACAATAAGGCAAACCCATCTCATGTTTTGAATCTCTTCTCTCTTTTCTCTCACTGCATTTCTCTGACCCACTCTTCTTCCTTCCTTTTTCACTTTTAAAAACTCATGTGACTAGACTGGTCCCACCTGGATATTCCAGGATAATCTCCCATTTAAAAAGGTCCCTAACCTTAATCACAACTGCAAAGCTCTTTTTGTCATGAAAGATAACATATCAAGGAGTCTCAAAAGGAATATATGTATGTATATGTATGACTGAAACATTATCCTGTACACCAGAAATTGACAACATTGTAAACTGACTGTACTTCAGTTTTTTAAATAAATGATTTGGAGGATTATGCTCTAGGTATCTTTGAGAGACCATTATTCTGCCTCCCACACCATGAAATTGTTTTGTGTCACAAAGAGGTTCACTTGCAACCCTGTACCATAATAAATAAACATTGAAAATAAAAATTTTCTTAACTGTTTAAATACCTACTAAATGAAAGATTGGCCTATTATTTGAAAATATTAAAAAGTCCCATCTTTCAAATTACAAAACAACCACTGAATGGCATTGACATTTACTAGATGAACTTCAGTAAAAGCCTTGGTGTATTTGATGAATGAATTTTAAGTGCTAGTAAAAAGTTACTTGGGTACCAACCATGTACTTCTGCTTTTTGCATTGACTAAGCATTGAGAATGAACTTAAGACAAGCTGTCAACACAAAGTGAACCTTTAAAATTTATGTCCAAGCAAAACCTGCATGCAGGTGTTTAAAACAGCTTTACTTCTAATTGCCAAAACTTAGAATCATCCAAGATGTCCCAAAGTAGGTGAATGGATAAACTATGGTACACACAGACAAAAGAATATTATTCAATGCTAAAAAGAAATGAGGTTTCAATCCATGAAAAAACATGGCAGAAACTTAAATGCATATTACTAAATGATTCAAAGCCAATCTGAAAAGGCTGTATTCTGTTTGATTCCAACTATACGACATTCTGAAAATGGGCAAACTATGGGAACAGTAAAAAGATCAATGGTTGCCAGGGGTTAGGGATAGGGAAAGGGATGAATGGGTGATTATATAGGATTTTTAGGGCAGCAGAAATACTCTGTATGATATCATAATAATGGATACATGTCATTTTACATTTCTCCAAACCCATAGAATGTACAACACCAAGAGTGAACCTTAATCTAAACTATGAGTTTTGGTGATGATGATGTGTGAGTGTAGGTTCGTCAATTGTGATAAGCGTACCGCTCCGGTGGGGCACGTTGATACTGGAGGAGACTATGCATGTGTGTGGGCAGGGGACATATGGGAAGTCTCTGTACCTTCTTCTCAATTTTGCTATGAAAATAAAACTGCTCTTAAAATAATCTTTAAAAAAGCAAAAAATAAAATAAGAAATAAAGTAAACCAGATTTTCACTTGTTTTATAAAATACAAGATGAAAGTTTGAAAAATAATTGTAACTGCTAGATTTCTTTCACCAAAATAACATCATATCAAATGAGTGAAAAAAGGAGTTTTAAAATAAAATCTATTTAAAATGTTTATTTTGTCTTCATCTCATCCTTTAAAAGGGATGTTTGTGTTTTAAAATGGACACTACTAATATAGCAGTAATTTATATAACAAATAAATATATTGGTATATGTAAATATTCTTCATAAATAAACACAAATACACATATACTTATAGTGCATGTCTTAAATTTTTACTTATAGTTGTAAGCCACCAAGTTGAAAATTATTATACTAATAAGTTTATACTAAATATATTTGGTTGCTAAATTATAAGTTAAAACTGCCTAAACAAAATGCTTATCAATCTGGTATCATCATTTTTGCAAAAGTTTTATAACAGGTAAGTCAGCTCTTGATTTGTCATCATTTCAATTTGCCACTCAACATGTCACAAAAGAATGGTTGCTAAGGAGCCCAGAATCTTTCCACTTTGGAAATATTCAACAAAAATTTTCAAAATACCACTTTTTCGAATAGGTAACTGAATTTTAAACACTGAACTTTAAAAGTCACTGGCACATTTGAGATCTCATTTGTACTTCTTTAGAGTGTAGGAGATTTTATTTGCTGGTTATCTGAACACATGTTTCCTCAAATCTTGATGTGAAAACATCCAAGTAAAATTTTCTAAATACTTTAGCAACAGATAGAAAACCTCTGATTCTCCTGGTTTCTCCATGGTTGTTCTGTAATGGATTTTTTTGTGACTAGAAAAACTAGTCACAGCAAGCATGTATATATTATAGGCCAGTGGGTAATGAATTACTGATAATGATCATAATTTTACTTTTCTTTGGTAGAATGGATTTTTCCCCTCTCAAGTCATGCTATTTATTTGTGTGTGTTTGTGTGTTTGTGGCTGGTCAGCACACACGGCATGTTCCCTTTACAAATTCAAGTTAAATCCATCCCACTTACCAAACTATTCCCTGAGCCCCGGAGCCAATAGGCTTTAGGTTCTGGTAGCGCTTGAGAACTGTGAAGGTTGAGTCTCCCACTTCCACACTGTAGAACTGGTTGTCAACTTTGCTTTTGCTCATGTTGTAATGTTTGGCAATATATGACACATCCACTTGTTTATCGAATCCCTG